CTAGTCCCCCTCTTATTGAAATACGGAAAGATCAAGGAGAACAGTTATGACGTTTAAAAGCAAAAGATAAAGCATTTGCCGTTGATCAATCCCTTTTTGGGATGCGGCACGCATTCTACTTCCATTTGTACATTCGTAGTGGCGTTTGAATGCGATGTGGCCTATACAATGACTTGCGGGGGCCAGCCGATGTACAAGTCAGTGTTTTTATCCTCCCAGACAAGTCTGGTACCAATTAACCGACCCCGGAGGGATGGAAGGCTTGGTTGGCCCGGGCGACTCACGACCCAGGATTTGATCCCCGGACCGCTCGCGTGGTAAGCGTGCCACTTGCCACTACACCACTTCCGCCCTCTTTATGACGTTTAAGAAGCATAATCTTGACTTCTGTTTTTTATAAGGCTCCAGACACTTCGGTGGCTCCATTGACGCTCCAATCGACAAGAATCAGAATTGCCTTGTTAGACAGGATGTTTTTCATAGGAATCATCAAGGAAGTGGGATTAACAGGATGAATGTGTCTGCTCGGCTTTGGCACATCCTCCATGGAATGAGCACGAACATGATAGCTGCTTGTGAACTAGTTTTCTGAAGGCTGGAGGAGATCAGGACTGCTAGCTGCTCACTGCTGACCGACCTGCTAAAGCTGAATACTTAGCTAAATAACTTGCTTTCACAATAGCTACTTCGTTCTAAGTTTTTATCCGTGCCAAATTTGTATTCGATTTCCGAGTTCAGTTTTTTTTTTCGCCGACCTTTTACCGGTTCTGAGACTGTCCATCAATAGAGATGTCATCGGCTAATCTCCCACAAGTCATAATGAAATTCGAGTCATTCAGGTATCGGTATACCTTTCCACGGAAGAAGTCTGTGTGGTGCTTGGCAAAAATGCTTGGTTGTGAACAAAATTTTGCCTCAGACGGGACTCGAACCCGTACCTCTTGCTTACCGGGCAAGTGCACCACGTTATACCGTTCAACACTTTATACGTGTGAGTGCTGACAAGCTATGGTAAGTATACCATGAAGAGTTGGATGAAATGGTGCCCCGGTAGCGTAACTGGTAGCGCACTTGCCCGGAAAGCAAGAGGTGCGGGTTCGAGTCCCGTCTGGGGCGAAAGTTTTGTTCACAACCCAGCATTCTTGTGAAACATTCGCAAGGCGAACTGCGGCCAAAAACAGCAGTTAACAAACAAAAACAAGTCAAAATCGTGTGTGGTGCATCCCAAAAACGGAACGATAATTGCCTAATGTTCAATATTTTTTATATTGGACGATTTTTCTGTGCCGAACAGGTTTTTCATAGTGAACCTTTGATTGAGCCGAAGTTTTTACCAAATCCTGGTCTTCAAAGGCCTGAAGAAGACATTTCGAAAGCTTTCAGATGGAACTTATCCTGCCAAACGCTGACTTGCTCTTAAAGGAATCTTCCACGGAAAGAGTGATCATTTTGTCTTGTGTGTAGGATTAGTATTATCGAAACTAACGCTTATGTTCCGTTCTTTTTGCTATGCTCATGAGGCTAGGGGCCTAAGGGGTATCGTTTTTCTGTGGTAATGGAGGCGGAGCTTTTTCCGCGGAAGATTCCTTTTAACTAGTCACAATTCAAACAAAAGGTGCCCTGACCTAAAAAAAATCAGAAAACAGAAAAATCGTCAACCACCTGAACGAGCCAAGGTCTCAACAAAGGTGACATTGGATAATTATTGATGCCCTTTACGCTCCTATAAATTTTTATGGAACCGTCACTTTCTCCTTAACCCTATTGGAATGCATTGTCAGCTGTAGGGAAAGATTCTTGAATATAAGGCAATAGCATATGTTGCGCCTTTTTGCGAAGAAAAACGATGTCTCAATCGTGATTTCCTCTCCTCCGCGCTTTCTTCTCTTGTGTTTTCCTACAGATACCCACTACAACAGTACGTTTGTATGGCATTTTACTTATGAAATTTTGTGATAGAACTATTACTACATATAAGGGGAATTAGGAAAATGCAATTCTGAAAAGGATAGCGGGGTCCAGGGTGAATATTGCTTGAGGATTCCTCAACGGCACGTCGAGGATTTTCGCCTGATCCTTTACGTTCTCGCGCGCGGACATTCACTCTCGCCATGCGCGAGCCGTCTGTGCTCTCCGCGCGTACATTCACTCTCGGCACTACTCTCGCACAGCAGAGAGCGATGGTCGAGGAATTCCTTCGTTATTCATCCTAGCGGAGTCTCATCCGGTAAGGGGTTTTGCCATTTAGAGCGCCCAAAACCACGGAAAGCATATTTTTATTGTAGACGTTCAGGACTAAGCCTTAGAAGGGAAGGAGCCCCGGATCCGTGAGCAATCTTGGTTTTCCCCGGGGGACTTCCTCCCCCTCCTAGGCTTAGTCCTGACCTGCTGACTAGGTGAATTCACTTTTCGTAGACGTTAATGTCATCTAGTACACGAACACATACATTACACAAACTCCTTTAAAGCAACAGTCCCAGCAGGGTGGGCGTGGTCGGAAACGGCTGCAATCCCCTCGGCCGATTCCCACTTCGGAGCTGTTCAGCCCCTAGTCAAGAACGTAAGAAGTGTGACTGAACAAAAACTCACCTTGGAAGCCGCTAGGGAGGTAGCTAAAGTGGGAATTGCAGCCGTTTCCGACCACGCCCACCCTGCTGGGACTGTTGCTGTGAGAAATAACATAGGAAAAAAGCTGATAGCAGCTCGTACCTTCAAAGGAGTCCTCGAACTAAATGGGCATTAGAGCAGGCAGTGCACCGCAATGCCCCCTCTTACCGGATGAGACCCGAATAGCGATGAGGTGTGACGTAAAAAAATGACCGAAAAACTGGCGCACGGTAATAGATCCGATGACGAGTAGGACTTTGCACTTGTCCCGCTATACTCTAGCCTTTCATTATAGGGCCGTTTCAAGAGTTTTAAAGGAATCTTCCACGGACCATGGACCAGTGGGCGGGACCGGAAGTTTTTGTGACGAAATGCATGGTAGGTACGGATCCACGTGTCGAACGCACGAACGTGAACAGGATTCACTTCAAACCTTCCCATGAACGTGGATCCGTACCTACCATGCATTTCGTCGCAAAACCACTTCCGGTCCCGCCCACTGGTCCATGGTCCGTGGAAGATTCCTTTAAGGGTCTTCCGACGCGTAACGCCTATGCCACAGATGGGCAAAGGACAGTGATCAGGATATCATCAGAAAGTCGATGGACACAGTAGCAGTTGCCACTGCGGCGCGGCATGTTAGTGCCCCCAGCACGAACCGAAGATTAAGTGACCAGGAGTCTGCGTCCTCTCAGTGAGATACCAAATTCGCGTATTTTTACCTTTTACGCCTGTGAAGTGACTCACTCCCCCCCACACCTTCTTCCCCCTGAACTGCCGACATTCCCCTGGCTCAAGAATTTCTAGCTCACGGCTAAAGAGCTGCGGCAGCAACTGCCCCCCCCCCCTACTTTAGCACTGAATTCTCCTGCAGCCTTTGATTTTGCATATATTTATAACGGTGTCAATGTAATAATTTTCGCAGTATGCCTATAAGACCGTATTTCCACTTTTTCATGGCATTTTTGACTTTCAATGATCTGTGGCTATCTGTCTCGATGCTACATATTTCTAATCTCCAGCTGTATGGTGGTTCTAGGCAGAACTTCTTGAACTCTCGCTCTTGCTCTTGCTCTTGCTCTTGCTCTTGCTCTTGCTCTTGCTCTTGCTCTTGCTCGCCCTCAGTGACCACCCGAGTCACTGGCCACGCTTCTGAATGAACAAGGTTTTAATAGAGCATTTATTACAAAATCGACCTATGACTGACAGGTTCTTGAGTCTTGCGCAGGCACCGTCGTCCAGGCTCTTGGTCCAGAAGGAGGTCTTGCAATCTCGACAGGCTCGTCTATCTTCTAAGTCCATCCTCTGGTTTTATACCATCGACGTCGGCGGAGGCAGACAAGTATGTAAGCATAACCCTGAAGATAAACGGTTTCTCAAGCATTAGAATGTAAGCATAGCTAAGATCTGCCAATAGATAGCAAAACTGAGAAACTACAAGGCGGATGACTAATAGCAAGAGGAAAGAAAACTTCTAAAACTTCTAACCATTTTTAGTGCGTTTAGCAACAAGCTGTAATGAGGGCAGTAGCAGCTGTCGTTTGTCAAATGGTGTAACTACTGTAATTACTGTAGTGAGTTCGTCAATTGCTTGGTGTATCGTAACAAGTGCTACTGCCTTTGCGTGAGTGCAGTTCTTGGGAGAGAGCCTTCTCGAATTCACCAGAGGTTTTACGAAATAGTTCAATGCGTAGATGTCTACTAGATGCGAGTGCAATTAATTTCTAGCATCTCAAAGAAGTAAGTAATTGATTTTCGCGAAGCAGCAAAAGTCCTGCATCGGGAATAACCAAACTGAGTTCATGTAAGTAAAATTCCACCTATGAGTTTTTACTTTTTCGGAAAAATCGGATTGTTCTGCATTAGATCAAGGTGTTCTTCCAACTCAAATAGTTTCCATTGGGGAATATCAGTTCGGAGTTGGTTGGGACGGCGTATGACCTCAACATCACTGAGCCGTGAAAATCTTTCCGACATTTGTCTGCCTTGCCGGCTAGCTCTCATCCTGTCATATAGCGCCGCATGGATTCACCTCAGATGAGATGATTATCGTGCTTTCTGAGGACCTTATCGTGCTCTCAGCTAATCTGCTTATCCGCTCACTGCCTGCAAAGTAACTCGGAAAGGTATTCTGAATACTATGTATGTACGAATTTTTTGTTCTCACGTAACTTGCTCATTTCGCTTTCGTTTTCATGCTCAGTTTTCTGCGTGCAAACCTCTCTCGAGGCACACCTGGCGATAGCCTCTATGAAAATCTATATTGTGCGCGCTTTCTGGTGCTCTTGATGCCAAGTGATGCTATGTGTTCATTCAGCAGTTACGACGGTGTAGCAGATCGCCTTCAAGTCATTCAGTTTTGATATCGCTCAGGCTCCATCAACTAATTTCAGAGGCGAGATGGCTCAGGAGAAAAACAATTTCACTCAGACTTGTGTACTGGTCTGTTCTCTGATCCTAATCGTGATCGCGTTCGCCCTCAGTGCTGCTGGCCTATTCAGCCCTAGCTGGCAGGTGGTCGATATACGGGAGTTCCGGGCCGAACATCATGTATGTGGTATCCGGAAAAATCTCACGAGTGTTCACTTGACTCCGTTTTTTTGCAGCACGGTCTATGGTTGGACTGCACTCGTGCCGAGCGATACTTGGCTACAGTTGGGCAGGATTACAGTGATGGGCAACCGCTACATTGCACATACAAGTTCGATTACTCTGCTAGTCAGGCAAGTATTCTAGGATTTTTGGCATTGAAATAGTAGTGAAGAGGTGAATAGCAATAATAGCGCCACCTGCCGCGCTTGTTCCTGCTCGAATCTCGCCCGGACCAACCCAGCCCCTTTCCTTCTCAGCTTGATTTGTTGATGCTGGCTCGGCTGGCTGCAAGTAGAAATAACGGTTCTACATCGGCTCGCTTTGTAGCATAATCAATAGACTACATCTCTGCTTAACGCCTGCTTTAAATCGGCACGCGCTTAACACCTTGAGGAGAACGTGGTACCATATGGCGCCATGTCTCGAGGGCCGCGTGGGGCAGTGTGACACACTATGGCGCCACATCCCTGTTATTCATTACTTCCGGCGTGTGGACGGCCTTCCAGGCATTTATCTATTATGTATATCTAGTTAGAAAAAACTGGTCGCAATGGGCAAGGAAACAGCTAAACAGTTCCATGTTTGCGCCTGTTCTTGCTAGCTTTTCTTTCCATTTTTGAAATGCTCACTGAGCCTCGCCAGTTCCATGCGGCCAAAAGTGGGAAAACGTTGTTGTATGGGTGTAAATCATACTAAATGCGTCAGATTGCTGCTGGATTGCTTCGCGTGGGACCGGGGCCACCTTCGGCGGTATCACATTCATTTGACCTGTGCACCAGTAACGCGAAATCTGACAATCGCAGCAAACAATTTTGATAATCGTGTTTTTTGAGCCAAATCACTCCTTGATTCATGTATTCAGCAAATTTGGTGGCCCACATGTGCTCGTGTGTCAGGGTCTTTCTTGTTGAACGCCTGTGATATTCGCGTTTTACGATTTCCTTAGATGGATTTCTAGTCCTTTTTTGACTAAGAACACAATTTTTCGGAAAAAAATCCAACTATGCTAGAAAATAGGGACAGCAAGTGATAAAATGTTCCGGATCTTTCTTCGTGTCGACCACAGCTTTTAGATATAGACGTTTACGTCCACAACCCTTTACCACAGCGCTACTTCTGCTCAAAAAATTTGTTTTGTAAACACTCACAAGCAGAAATTTGTTATTAGAACTCGATAAAAGGGCTTTCACAATCGAATGACGACAGATCATGAAAGTTGTTGCTGTGAAATAGGAGGTCTAGTAATTTTACATTTTAGGTGATCGGCGAAAACATGGAAGACATCGATCAAAACAGCGCAGCTGGCGAAAGTGAACACCACCAGTTTTTCGGTGAATAATCGGATTTTTCTTATAATTTTTGGAATAATTAGACTGCGCCATGACGGGGATCACGTGTTGGTGTTTTATAAAGACCAAGAGGCCGAGCTCTAAGGAGGGAGTGTTAATTTTCGTGAATATATTTGCATCTATAAATTCGAGGAAACTTCTAATAGCCGCTGAGACTAGGGGTCAACGGAGTGTGGCAGTGCAGAAGACTTCTGCGATTGGTGGACGTTTTGAGCGATAGTCCCAGCAGGGTTCTTATCTTCGACAGTAATGGTGTGGGACGATGCGCTAGTCAAGGACAGGAACTGGGACCGAACAAACAACTCACCTTGCAAAGCCGCGAAAGGGAGTTGTCTCTCACAAGCCCTTCTTGCCAGCTGTAGAGATGGCGTGGTCGGCTGTGGAGGCACTCGATCCACGATCGCAAATGCCTCCACAGCCAATCGCGCGATCTCCCACGGCTGGCAAGAGGGGCTTGCGAGCAGGGTCTGTCCTATCGTTGTTACTTTTCGAAAATTTTTACGACCCCCCTCCCCCAACGTGGATTTGATACGACCCCCTTTTCCCTACCTCCACCATCTCCATCTTCCATCAAAACCCCGCCCACTTTTTCCTCCAAAAATGCCGTCGAGCGGGGGGTATATAGTCACTCTGAAACGGTAAATATCTCCGAAAATTTCCTTCTATTTCCACCATTTCAACCCATTTTTACCTATCCCACTACTTCCTTTTCTAGGGGGTATATACGCGCGCTGAAACGGCAAATTTTTATCCTGCGCG